GTGCATTTTTCCTACTCATTTGAGCAGTTTTCATTTCAAATGGTTCTCAACATGAGTATACTTTTAATTAAATGCACCCCAGTGGTTTTTTGTGCTGCTTGGCTGTCAGACACACTACATTCTGAAGGTAACTTTTAAAGCATGACTTAAATAAAATATGTCCTGCTAGCCACTTTTTGGATCATCCAGAGCCTTTTCCTGCTTCCCTTGTAGCTCCATTTTCATCTCCTCCAGAGGAATTTCCTGCGGACCTTATTTTAATAACCAGGAAAGTCCTCCATATTCTGGGTTTTGATATTTCAAGGCCTCACCTCTTCAGTTCGCTCTTTACTCAAGACAACTTCTCTCCTTAAGCAAGAAGGGATTCACAGATAACTTATCTTTATGTATTGCTAAGGTGAAACTATACCTGTACAGCAAAGCTTACAAACCTTACCAGAACACCCACAGATCATTGCTGCTGCTGCTTGTACTACTAGATATGTATGTACATATACATATATACTATGTATTAGCACATATTTATGTCAATCTTTAAAATGAGGGCAAAACCATCAAAAAACTCACTTAAAATCCAAACACTTATCAAAGACATTCCTGTAACAAAAATACTTTCACTCAAGGCTGAAGCCTTTAAAACAACAATGAAATAACATTAATCTCAGTGCCTTCTCAATCACTAGAAAAATTACCTTTTGTTCTTTCCAAGCTAAAATAATGTAACTATTGTATCCCTTCCCTCTGTATATTTTATATTCAAGACAACTTATGATCAGTGCATCAATAAAGTCCAAGTCAGTTTCAAACAAAAATATTTACATTTTGAGTATGACATTCAGTCACAAAATACTTACAGCCATATATTGTTTGCTGGCATATCTTCATGAAAAAGGCTATATCTAATAAAGAGATGACAGAAATGTTCCAACAGTGATACAAGAAAAAACCTACAGAAAATTTGAGTCACTGATGTTAAATTGGTATGTCTCAGCTTAAAATGGAACTTGATAAAGCATTCAGGCTAGTAATCTTCTACCACATCAGCACCTATTTTTCTGTAGTTCACACAAAAGCACAACTACTTTAACTGAAATTATCACAGCTGTCAACCACTTTTATAACTACAAGAAGCTGGACCCTAAGTTACCACTAATACATAAGCTCAAGTAAGTTCATGAACTTATCCTTAGTTCCTTCAATAGGTTCCAATGGGATGGTTTCAATTACAAGAAAAAAACAGACGACATTTTTTCCCACTGGCTTTTTGCCTAAGTAATTCTTAAAGCGGGAATAAACAATGAACCAAACCACATCATACTCAAGAGAAAAACAAGGGGAATCTCTTAATTTTGCATTTGGAGCAAGCAGGCAAAGAAATCACTATCAGTGTCTTATGCAACAACACAGGGACACAGACTATGCAAGGCCAGACCATCAGTCAGTGTGACAGGAAAGGCACAGTGCATTCTACTTGAGCACCTATGGAGCAAATGAACACACACTGCTAGAAATAAATGAGGACTCTTCCTGCATATTGACACTTGCTTATATTGATAGCAATGAAATGCTTCAAAATCCATGAACTATATTGCCTAGTTTATTCCTACAGTTAAACTAAAGTTGTAAGGAGAATATGTTTCTTATTTTTATAGTACAGTGATTGCCTACGTGAAATATTTTAAATGTGTTACATATTCATACATATTTATTCCACAATACAAAAGATTACAAAGAATATTCTCCAAGGATTGGGTTTGTATTTGCCTGTATATTTTATGGTCATTTTACATAGCAAAGAATGGGTTGAGTTTTTAAGGTATTTTTGAACATATGAAAAATATGCCTCTAAATCCAAAAGAACTGGCCAAGGAAAAAAAAAGAACAAAAAACAAAAGCACATGTAATAAACAGCTATTTCTGCTTCTGAAAACTGACCCAATTCTAAATTGTAGATTTAGATTTCCTTTAATCCTATTTTCCATGTTTTTCTCAGACACACATTTGCCCTTTCATTCAATCAATTAAAAAATACACTAAACGAGCTTTCATGAATATGTACATTGGGACTTTGCACAGGAACTTCTTCACTTCTAGCACCCTGCACTCAGAGAAAGATATCTTTCAGCAGTAAAACACCAACTTGAGCCATTTTCTCTCCTCTTGCACACTTACTTGTTGACAGCACAGCAGGCTGCTCCAACTGAAAGTTCAGGCACAAACATTTGGATGCAATGTCATAAACTGATCACAGAGCTAATGTGAATGAGGAAAAAAAACCCCAAAAATCAAGACCACCCAAAAAAATACAACCAATACCCCTCACTATTTATTTTCAGAAGGGTATATTTAAGTCACATCAGTTACAAAACACAGTTGATAACACAGACAGATGGGAATGATCAGCACTGGGAGGAAATCCCTTAAGCTGCCAAAAACTTCAGCTTTGTGAAACTATTCTCAGCATTCATGGAAAGTATTCAAGGCTCTCTAACTCTTAATCCCAGTTCATATTTCAACATGCACTCAATGCAGTGCAGCAACACCAGGTAAGAGAACAAACACACAAGTGTGAAAGTTTATCAAGACCTAGCAGAATGTTTTAGAAATAGAATTTCACCTTTGATTAAAATACCCTGAGGCATAATATTCTTTGACATTGCTTATGCTAAAAATTATAAATCTAACATTGGAAAAATTGTATTTCTGTGGATTTTCAATCTATCATCAAGTGATTTTGCTTTACAGCATAAGTTTTCTTTAAAATAACTGCATAGGGAAAGGGGAGAGGAAAACCAACACCCAATGCTGCATTAGAACATCAGTGCTCCACACTACTGCTAATTGTGAACCTCTAACTAGAGCAGTTGGCTCCTAGAGAATAAAAAGCTTCACCATTTCCAAATCAAGCATCTGCTCTAGATTGTCTAGAGAATGAGTTTTGCAATGACTGATACAGCATTTTTCTATCAGATAAGGTCACATTGCCTAAACACAGATACTAACTTTACTACTCCTCATTAAATAAGTCATAGGATGCTCAGGAGAAGGAATATCACAGTTTTGGAACAACTTCTTTTTCCCATTTGGCTCACTCAAGTTAAAAGTGTTTTAATAACTATCCTTGTATTGACTGGTCATCTGGCACAGGTGACAAGAGTGCATCATCCCCAGTATCCTACAAAGACCACAACACAGATCTCTATCACACAGAGACCACAGAAGCAAAATACTATCATTAAACCATTTTTGCAGATATAATACTTTCCCTGAGGAAGCATAATTTGCTGTCTGAGGATTATAAATTATTTTCACCACACAAAGTTTAAAAAGATCCTAAAAAAAAAAAACAAACACTGAAGAGAAACTATATGTGGCATAAAGTGCTTGAAAAGATAACTGTAAATATTTAGCAAATAAATTATTTTAAAGTAGAATATATTATAACTGCAACTGTTTGCAATGATGCCTAACTTGTCAAAACAAGTAGTTGATAGATAAAGGCTGTTTCAAGCCCTGTTCACTAGTGATTAGTAAAGAATTTTAAGCATCTGTAATACAAAGTAACTAAATAATTTCCACAGTTAGTAGCTTCTAATATACTTTGATCATCTTATTTTCCTGTTTCTCCAGAAAAATTAACCTTTGCAAGACAATAATGCACTGCTCAAACTTCAGCTTGTCCATACCCTTGGTTTTAGCTTTTCAGTGCTGTATATGTTGCTGGAAGAAGTAAATAATTTAACAACTTGGGATTTTCAATTTTATAGCACTAAATATAAATTACATTGAATTGCACACAGAGAGAAAGAGCTTTTCCTAACACTTGCTGCATTCCCCAGATGCATTCAATGATAAGTCTCTGTAATTTGAATCAAGTATACTAAGATTTCTCATTTTTGCCATGGCATCAGTAAACAGCTGTCATTCCTCTCTGTCCTGCCACACTCTTTTAACAAATATCACAGAGAATAAATATCCTACTTAACATAAAAGCATCTCTGACTTCAAGGCAAAGAGGAAAAATAAGAGATAATTCAAAATATTTGATCATGGCAGCTTAAAGCAGACAGAAATACTAATTTTTACTTCTTTGATGACTGAATAAAGATTTCCACAAGATGGTGCTGTAGTCCTATTTTAAGACATTAATGGTTCTAACATTTAGAAGGAAACATCATTTCATTTCATTGTTAGAATAATGAACAGTGATTTGTAAGGCCTATTTTCAATTAAGGAGCAAAACACATTCCTACGATCCAATCTTTATAGGTTCTTTTATTTTTAAACAACTGAAAAATCACAGAAGTCACAGAAGTCTAAAAAACCCAGAACTAGTTTATATAACATCACAGATTGCCGTAAACTCTTCTGTTTCTGTGCAAATTAAAGTCCATTTATATTCCATATGGTTATAGAAAAAAAATCATAATTATTGTTAAAACATAGAAATCACTTTTTACAGCATGTTAAACAGCTGCTTTTGCCTTCATCTGCAAACTCTGCCCCCCAAAAAATTCCAACTGGTCTGTAATATTAAACTCCAAAAATCTTTTAAACTGAAGTATTAAAACACAAAGGAGTCTTGATATGATAGGCTACCAATTTACAAAAAGCAATAAACAATTAAATAAATCGAAACAAGCCTCACACATCTTTGGTTTGATCATATGTTTATGGAAGTCTTATATCTACTTATGTCTCTAAACAGAAATCTTAATATGGCTTCAAATAATGAAAATGTTGTGTTTCTTTGTATACTGACTGGTCTCCATCTGTGCTGCTGGTCTTAAAATGTGTTGGGTAAGAGCACTAAAACACTCAACACATCTCTTGCAGTCAAAGTCTGTGGACTTACTCGCACATTTTTGTGTTTAGGATCAAACTGACCCCCACTTTGTCAGTGTTAATGGAAGCCATAAAGTGTTGGTGCTCTCCAGCTCAGCATGAAAACTTATATTTAAAAATAAAATTAAAAAAAAAAACAGCAAAAAAGGTACATATTTGAAACTGTGCATGTAAGTTTTTTATTAAAACTTATTCAAGAGTACAGATGGTAGGATGGTATGTAAGAATGCCTCTTGGGTGTAATATGCAAGTTCCAGCTGGAATGTTTCCAACAGGATGTAAACCACAGTCCTCAAGCCCACACTTTAAAAAACATATTACTTAGCACACTGCTAACAAATGTCAACACAAGAATACACTGCTGTAATGACTTCAATTTACAAAAGTGCAAGGAAGGGGGAAGAAGCTATTTGAACAGTCTTTAAAACCAAAAATTGTGGTCGTGGGGAGGGAAATCAATACACAGATGCATGAGTAAAATATTTATTCAAAGCAATAAAAGAACTGGTGATCATTACAAATTCGATATATAAAAAATTTAATGCTGTACAAACATACAGATTATTTCTGGTATCCGTAAGTCTGCAGAGACCAGGTCTGAAGACCTGTGCTTGCAGGTATTCCCAGAGGTGGGCTTGATGTTTTGAACAATTTGAAGGTTTCTTCAATTCTGAAAATAAATTTTGTTTGCATACACTTAATAAAATAGAGTACAAAATAACTGACTTGCTTTTAACTTCCTAATTATCCAAAATACTAATAAGCAGCATGACCCCATACGTTTTCTCTCATCCCGCCCTTTTCCCCTGCAATTCGTTTCTATTTTAAATGCCTACCATTTATCAATGACCTCAAGTACACAAAAAAGAAGCAATAAAATTAAAATTACAGAAAAGGCTAGAGCTTTTTATAGGCCACACACTTACTGAAGAGAAATCTCTTGCTAAACAAACATGGCAAAGCAACACATTTCTCTTCAAGTATAATAAAAATATAACAAAAAAATTTATTCTAGATCTCAGAATCATTATCAAATACATCTTAATACAGTTATTATAATGCTTAGGCTGAAATTAGTTTTAAATTTAAATAATAAAATAATATTCCTTAAATAATAAAAAACAGTTAAGATAATAGGTACTTTTCAGGAAGAAAAATTGCAAGTACCAGGGAATTTCAATCAGGAAATAAATAATATTCCTATTTCTTATCGACCAAATTCTAAACACTCTTTATTCTCAGGTTAATACTATTAAGAGTGCTTTCTATTGCTTTTTAGAAACCAAAACAGTGACTCATCCCACAAATACAAAACTGTAAGTGGATTTATTATCCAGTAGAGCCATAAGGAAATGCCACACCTGATGTACAGACCTTTGAGGTTTGGAACACATATGTACATTCTCTGTGCGCCTTAGTCCAGTACAACTCCCTCCTGGGAAATAAATTCCTGCTGCCCTTTCCTATTACTTACATTTTACTTATCTTTTCCATTCTTTGTCTTATTGTCTCCTACAATTTAAAGGCAACATAGTTAGTGAACTCTTCAAAGCTTACATTCTTCAGATGGACTTTCAATTTAAATTCAGAGAAAATGTGACTTTAAGCAGTTTTTACATATGAAAAGTATTTTTTATGAGACAGACCTAGAGGTAGTTTTGCATAGTTTCCTTGTTTTTCTATCAGTATATACAACTAAAACCAATGCTTACTCGTACTCTTGACCTCAAAGGAAATCAACTGAGCATTCACCAGCTTTACTTACCTTTGAAATGTCTGTCAGATCATGAGAATTAATGGTCATGTCTTTGGGAGATTGGTCTGTGGATAACAGTGAACCGCATCCAGACGACTGAAGATGACTCCCTGGCATCTCCTCATTCCTCTCTGTATCTATAGAGAAATGCTCAGTTTTATGTCACCTTTGCCTTCTTGCTCTCTTTTGCAAGGTCAGCTATCAAATAATGTGATTTACAGTAGGCAATAACAGAAGAGAATGCATTGTTTAGAGACGGGAAGGAAAAAGCAACTATGAGAGTCCAAAATAGGTTTCTCGTATTTTTTAAACAAGTGCAATATGACACTATGTATAATATATATAATATACAAAAAGCAAATTCTAAAGATTACTAAGAAGATTATTTTCTCCTGATTGGAGTAAAATCAAAGCTTATGAACATCTGATTACATTGCCAAACCTTTAATAGTGATTTCATATAGTTTACATTATTTTTATTGTAAACTGCCTGCTCAAACATGTCTTTAATTTGTGCAAAGTAACCTGTCTTATAAGTAGCAAAATTTTTGTCTTTTTTTTTCCTTTTTTTCATTTGGAAGCTGTGAGATTCTTTGTAATTTTAGATTACTATTGTCAGGGAAGAGAATTTAGTATCTCGAAAAAACACATGTTCCCATACCCATTTTTAGTAAAGTCACCATCTATACATCATACCTTTGGAACAAATGTAGCTACACTATTTTGTATCTAAAATTGATAATAAACTGTTTTTAAATACCTAAAATTAAAAATTTTTTATTTGGTACAGCTGTGATTTCTGAAGAGTACTACAACCAAAAAGAGCTGGAAAGGATCCCAAGTACTATACTCTCAGATAAAAGAGTTAAGACTGTCCTCATAATGTTTATGCCTAAAATTTCCTGAATTTTAGAAAAGCAGAAACAACAAATTCAGAATTTGAGGGAGTCTGAAAATTCTCTTTCAAAAAACCATCTGCCTGTTTACTTACTATAAAGTCCTCAAGTGTCAGTAACACACCACTAAACTTATCACAGGAAGTAAATATGTTCCAAGCTTTCTGAGTCCTGTAAAATGAAGGTCCTGTTTCTCAGACTCCATGATAAAAACAATCTTTGACATAACCAAGAACTGCCTTCCTAATTTCCATGGAAACTGGATTACTGAGACTCCTTTTTAATTACAATTCAAAAGCCCAACACTGGACAAAAAGCATAATATGTGAGAATGGAAAATAGAATATCCTCCTTACCACTGGTGGTAGGAATAACAGCTGCCACAAGGGAAACAGGCCAAATCAAGGAAGAGAACAGAGGGAGCTAATAGAGCTAAAGGCTAAAGAGCTACCATTGAGGAAGACAGAAGAATTACTCATGGCCTGAGCAGTGCTTTTAACTTCTTTCCCACTCAAGTCTGCTTTGTTTACTTCTTGTAGGTTATCAAAATTAAACAGACGTTGGAAACAGAAGAAAAAGATTTTGACTTTCTCTTCAAAACAAGAAAGTTTATCAAAAATGCCAGCTGGACAGCTGCTAACTGCTTCAGAGATGAAATATAGAAAACATTTAGTAGTGAGTTGAAAACCAACAAAGATTATGAATCATTATTTGTCTGAGCCCCATTAAAGAAGAAAACAGCAACCTAAAAGATATTAGTGGCAGCAAAAATAACTCCATTTGTGCTTGAGAACAGTGCATTTTTAGAACATGATGATAACTGCTTTAAAGTCCAAATGACAGTATTGTTATTCACAGTTTTAGTAACAGAACCTTAATTTGCATCTTTGATATTTTTAGTAGCTATTTTAAACTATTACTTACTATGCTATAGCAACTAAACTATCTAAAGAATAAGTTAGAAACATGAAATGATGAGGAGGTTAACTTCTTATCTGCAGGATGGTTTTAAATTCAGAGGTCACTAAATTGCAGTTACCTACTTAACTATTTTTAGTCAAGGTCAGCAAGAAACGTTTAGCATATTTACATTAATTAAAAGGAAAATCATTAATACTCACCAAGGGAAACTGGAATGCTACCAGAAGTTCTTTTTTGATTTATATTGCTGAAGTCTTTAAGAAAGTCTCTCTGAAATACAAGTTTACTGTATTTTAGCCATATACCCTGTTTAAATCATCTTCTGACTGAACAAAACTATATTTAAGTATCAGGTATGTGTGTATTTTCTTGCTACACCATGTTGGCACTGCACAAATATCTTCACAGGACTAAAAAATTCAACATTTCCATAAATGCACTTCATTAAAAAAATAGTTTATTTAACGGGTATTCTTCAAACATCAATATTGCTATTCATGATGAGGTCAAAACCAGGTCAAAATATAGTGCATAAAACTTACTTATGAGTAGAATGGACAATCAGAATGGTCTTAGCCTGTACTAATAATTTCATCTCAACATTGGTTGCCATTAGCTTAAAGTAAGTGTGCCTTCTTCTACTGCTAGTTGATATTCAAATATAGAGTCCTCAGTCCTAAAAAAATAGCCTATAGACTAACTGAAATTCACTGCATCTAAATGCTTATAACTCAGAAGGCTATTATAAGCTGGTTTCCCAGGCTCCTAAATGAGAGAGGGCTCTTTTAAGAACATTCTAAGTTTAACTTGATGTAACTTTAAAAAGGTTGTTCATAAGCAAGGAAACAATAGTATTTTTGAGTTCAACTTTCTAATTTCAAAGTAAAAAAATGAAACACTCAAACAACATCTAGAATTTTTTTTTACCAATGAGTAATCATTATGATTTGATACCTTACCCTTTAAAATATGTCACTTTATATACTGGAGTAACTGCATCAGCTAATTGGGGAATACTACACCCAAATAAATTAATGAAGGAGAAATAGTAGGTATTGTATGGGAAAATGCTGGAAAAAACTGTACTAATGTCCATCTCTTAAAAAACACAAAAATAGAATCTGCAGAGACTATGTCTGTTCAATTCCTTTCATTGAAATGGATTTGGTAGCTTTCAGACTTTCCCAGAACTTAAATGCACAGCTGCTGCTACTTTGGCAACAGCAAAAGACAGATCTTACTGTTCCTGCCATGTTGGCTAGATGACAAAAATTCCCTGTAAAGTGCAAGGGTAAGAGAGGAGTAATTCTGAATTGTTTCTGTATGTGTGAAGCACGACTTGGATGCAATTTCATTAAACAAAAAAGCAGCAATTCTGTGGCCCAAAGGATTATTTCTCAGCAGTTTTCAAATGTCTATTGTAAAACAGTTGCTTTGAAGACTATGTATACATATATATAGTCTTATATATTTCTATATAGAATGCCATACAGAAACTATAACTGAACTTGTTTCTGCAGGTGAATTCTTTCAGTAACATGCAGTACAGACATATAATTATCACTGGAAATTTCTCAGTGATATTTTTGAGAGTATTTTCCAAATACTATTCCAATCATATGAACAACTGCAATAAACATGTTAGTGAAGCAGTAATAAACCAAAGTTACAAAAACAAAAGAACAAGTTTTGAGCTTTCCCATTGCTACAGTAATTTCTTGAAAAGAATACATTTGAAACAGGAGAAAAACTGTCTGTGGCTGTTCACCTGAAGGCCTCTTGAGACTGCTGCCAGAAAAAAAAAAATATTATCATTGGTAGTATTTGTTGGACACATGTCTACTGATCTGCAAGAATCCGATTTCAGATGGTAAAATCACATGAGCTACTACTAACCTAAATTTTTTTTAAAGTGATTGAGAATATCTATCCTTACTAATTGAGCTCCAGCTTTTAGAAATAACCTAGTGATCAGTTTGAACACCTGTCTGTTTCAAGACTTTGCATAACCACCACACTTGCAAGGCACATAGTAAAACATGTCTTGTATACAAGTATTAGCAACATTTTCAAATTATTGGGGTCAGCAAAATGCACAGAGCTCCTGGTTGTGAATAAATTCAACAGTTTTACAGCTGCAAAGAAAAATGCAACACCAATCAACTATTTTCCACAAGGATTTTCAACTTCTGGAAAGCATCTGACAGTGTCTGAAAGATACACGAGATACATTAGGGAAAATTTTTGGATCACATGATTAATTTCAAAGTGATTCTATGGTTCACTGCAATTCAAAATATTTACATGTGAACATATATCAAAGTACATAATGTGCACAAAAGGACCTTTCAACAGCATGAAAAATAACCCAGTCCTAACACAACCAGAGGCTTTATTTGCTATGCCAAATGTAGCCACATCAAGACTGCAGTGATTTCACACATTCAAAAATGCAATGAACATCACAGACAAAAAATAGGAAGTGGGGGAAGAGAGTGGGAATAGGAGAAAAAACCCCACTGATTAGACTAGAAATTTCAAGGACCCATAAATTACACATAGGACTAAAATAAGAAATAACTTTTCGATTAACCCTGTATTTTCCACTGTGCATGCCATCCATTTTTGTCACTATCTGTTGTAGAGAATGAAGACTCCATGTTCAAAAACTTTCTTCTATAACTTTAGTAGTAAATAAAATGACACTGAATCATTACTAATGAGAACAGACGGCGAGCTTTGGTTCATAAAGTCTCAGAGAATAGAATTTAACAGTTAAGAAAAAAAACCCATCAACTTCATAAACAGCACTTGCATTCAGATTGTCATTTTAAAACCAGTGACAAAAACACATCAGGAGGCAGGGAGGGCAGAAACAGACCAACAAGATTATGTTTGGGCAATTTTTGTTATAGAATTAAGAGAGAAGTTAACACACCTTTTTGGATTGTAACAACAGTTCTGTTTCAAGAAGCAAAACTCGATTCAGTAAGTTATTCCAGTCCTTCTCATCTACGATCACCTTTCCTTGCAGTTTCTCTTCTAAAACTTGTAGCTTATCTTCCATCCAATCTAGCTTATGAAGCTTTTCCTGGAAATCTGCAAGCTGACTCTTTAAAAACTCAATTTGTGAATTTTCTTCTATGACCTGAAAATACCAATAAGAACATATCCTCTAATTTCAAAACAGAAACAATTCATCGCTTGATGAAACAAATTAAGTGCAATCTCCAAGTTCAGTTACCACATCCAGCTACATTAGAAAACTATTTTTCTTCCAGAATTATGAAAATATGCCTACTCAGGGAACACAGCTTCTAAAAGAAGCTGTTAACAGAACTGTGTCTTGAAAGAGACAGTACAATTTAACTGACTTTTCCTTTTTCCAACTTTTTCAATACATTTATTAAATATCTTCAGGAGCTTATATCTTCAGGAGCTGCATGCTCCTGAAGTATAGCTATAATGTAAAAACCTTTATCCCTTTAGACAAATCCTGTAATAAAAAGACATCTTAAAATAGAAGTCCTTACTTGTTCACATTTAACTTCCACAATATCATAATCTGGGCACAATTCTTCCTCAGTCCCTCCCTGTGCTGGAAGGGGTAGTGGACAAAGATCACCACTAACTTCATTTCCTGAGTGTCGTTCAACTAGAGGCTTCTTTCGAGTATGCTAAAAAACAAACAAACAAACACAGTTAACTGCTGGTGTTATTCATAACAATAATATTTCAATTCATTAGCCAAGTAGTAACACATAAGACCTATTATTTCAATATTTATTTAAACCTAACTATCTTATCCCAACTGGTTACAAAATACAGAAAGCAAGAGCAGGCAGTTTAATTTTTAAAAAATCATACAGACATGAAGGAACTGTAAAACAAATATGCATACACTTTGCCATATATACCGTGTACCTTGTTTCCTTTCCATAAACAGTAATGAAGATATTCATGTCCTCCTTTAATTTAAAGGTTGTTAGATTTCTAAGTGTGGACTGGAAAATATGTTATTACCTACAGCGAAATTCATATGTATAGACAGTTTCAACATCAAAACCATGACTAAAACATTAAGAACAAAAAAGGTTTAACTAGGAAGATTACAATTCTTCCTTTTTCTTGACAACTGTCAGCAAAATAGCCCTATGAGATATACATTACTTTCATTAGAGAAAGTAATGTATATCTTCCCTTAGCTTCCCTTAGAGAAAACAAAGAGAAATTTTGCAATTTCTTCAGGTGGATTAAATCTTATGATAATATCACAAAATTAGACACTTAATGATTAAGAATGCACAATTACTAGTTCTGTGCAGCATCTTAACATGTAGAGATTCCTCAGTGTTTTAGTTAAGCTGAAACTCTCCTCTTCTAGGGAATTCTTAAAACATACGTATCTATCCCATTCAGTGCCACTATTAAACAACTAGAAGAGACAGAGAAGCCATTCCAAATACTTTCTTCACCAAGTTTTCCTTGATAAAAGCAGTATTTTCCTTACAAGTAGAAACCACCAGCTATTAACACGCAATCATAGTCCTAAAAGTTTTCTAACATTTTATTTTGCACCCTTTTAGCAGATAGTATCAGGAAAGCTGCCTCCTTCACATGTCAAGAGTGGAATAACATATAGACATTTTTACTTAATGCATAATCATTTTACCTTTGTAAAACCAAAGCCAAAAGGAATGCTACATTATGAAAACTTCCTGAATAGATTCAGATAAAACACCAAACAGTGTTTTGAAAGCTGTGTTGAAAACACATGCTAGGCCAAGCACACTTCACTTTTCAAACACCACACATCTTCTTTGTGCCATTTTATCTTTTCCCACTGCTCTCCCTTACACTTGATATAATTCAAATATAGCACAAACAACAGCACTAGATCATTACCAGCAAGACTTTGAGATCAACTGCTCAGTAAAAGAGAGGCAACATCCTCTGTATTTCAGCTATTATTTCAGCCAACCGCACTTTGGAGAAAAACAAACAAACAAAAACACCAGCCCACATCAAAACTGGTTTGATTAAGTATTAAAACCAAAACAAAAGCAAAAAAATTCAGCAAGAGCCTGACACTACAAACGAGATAAAACATAAAAATTATTTTCATACCTGCTTGGAATTCAGAGCACTGCAACTTGGATCAGCAAGACCTGTACCACAATTTGACCATACTTCAGATTTAAGAGGTCTAATTTTTTTTCTCGTTTGGGATTTAACCTCCAAAGTGAACAGAAGAAAACAGGAAAATTTTCAGGATTTCACACCCCACTTTCTAACACCATCACTGACTGACAGGAATATTTCATGGTGCACACACAGACACATTTAAACCTCTCTAGTACAATAATGTCTAAAAAAAATTAAATAAGACCCAAATTTATAGAGAACACAGATCCAGAGGTAAATGCCATACTTTTACACTCATTAATACCTATACTAGGTTGTATCAATAGATGGTTATAAATAAATACAACTTGCACCAGAGTTGAAAGTAAAACAAATACAAAAAAAGTAGTTATGTCTTCAAAACTGACAAATTAAGTATGCAGAAGTCCTGAAGACTTGTTTAAATTCAAAGGAAATAAAATCTTGTGAAATATAAAGACTGGAAATTCCTTTCATTAAAGCAGAGACTGATACACCACACACACTGATAAAAAATAATGCCATTACTAGTATCATTGATGAAAATAATCAGATTTGAGAAACAAATAAAAGTGTCATTTTTGAATAGTTACAGAAATTCAACATATGAGAGGATTTTGTTTTGCCTTTAAATTTATCTGAGAAGTTTATTGTTTACTGCACATGTTTACTGTATCAAGAAGTGTAAAAGAAAATATATCACTTACTGTAAAAACAACAATTAGATTTATCTTCATTCTAGTTTTTTTTTATACTACAAACTATTGGCAGCTTCATGTCTTGAATGCAAGCATTCAAGCATCTTACAATGGAACTTCATATTAACTTTCCATTATTTGGTCCATGAGCAATGCTGCATCTTCAAATAGAAGCTGAAAATCAGTTTATCTGCAGCATCAAACATGTCAAAAGAAACTTATAAAAAAGGCAACCATTTGATCAGTACCTTACTAGAGTTATTCAACTCCTTATGTTTCTTCACCACACAGTTGATAACGTCACAAACAATTTGCATTTTTCTTTCTGCAAAGCCAACCTGAAGAAACTGCTCTTTTGTTAAAATTGGTTTATACTGAAATTGATCTCGAAGAAACTGCAACAAAATAAGAGTTTACCTCACTTTCAAAATCACCTCACAATTTGCTGTAGAAATGGCATGCCCATATTCTTATTTTACTACAATCTTGTCTTTCATTCTGCACTTCAGCAGTTAAGCCTTTTCTCATTTGATTATTTTTATATAAATCAATAAATATATAGCTGTCTCTTTTAACTAGGCCTTAAACATATCTCCTCTTTGATTCACATCACTCTTGTAAACTTCAACTCACAGTCTTAAGATTCAAGAAATAACTGACTATTCAAGTTAATACTAAAAAACTAAGAGCTTTTAAAGTAAATTTACAATAAAAAGTTATATTAATCTCAGCAAATACATCAGAGGGCTACTTAAGGCTCCCACAGAAGCCTTTCCTCTCAGATGGAAAACTAGTCTGAATAAGCCACTCTTTCTTAATTCATCAATCCACCTTTCATTAAAAAGCACTTTTGCATATTTTAAGGATAGTTCAAAGTTATTTTCAATTAGTTAAGAATTTTATTCTGGTGTATAAAAGGTTAATATTCAACTTTATGTATTAAAATGGCATAGTGTTTCAAAATAACTGTACTTCTAAACTGTGCTTACAATTTTTTGAGTTCCTTGTGATTTTTTTGGTGGTTAAGATTTTTGCCAAGGTCACTTCTATAAATCTTTTTGTCCAATAAAAATTTTTTTGTTCTTCAAAACTAACATCTAACAATATTACTGTTTCTGCAAATGTCTCAAAACTGAGATTTGGCTACCACCACCTTTTCTTATTTTCATTAAAATCTAAAAACTTGCACACAGTGACTTACTACTCATCTTAAATCCTAAGAGAACTAAAATTCATATTCATTTCAAAAAACTTTCACTTTCTAGTAAAGCTCATAGTAAATGTTTAATTTCTGTGAAGTTTCTTTAGCAAAGAACATGAAGGGATACCTTATAAACAGCTTCAATAAAACGCAAGTCGCTCTTGGCTGTCAGTTCCACACCACACTTTACCAAAAGCTCTGCTATGCAAGTTGAAAAAGATGTAAAACAATAGCTGATGATAGGTAAAAATGCAGCTGGATCACCCTTTACTAACCTATAAAGAGACAAAAGTATTTTACACAGCAGAAGGTAACAAAAGCTTTTCATTACATCAATTCCAACATTTAACTTGAAAGGAATAAATACACAGCAGGTTCTATCTAAATATCTTTCATTGTAAGGTTTCATTGTCCGGGCATCTCTCATTCAGCCATCTTTGCTGTTATCTGTAAAATGCTCAAAAGAATGTTTTTGTGATCTACATATAATTTAAACATTGTCAAGTCTAAAGCCCACCAGCGTTTCCAGCTCAACATTCAGACCATTTTTTTCTTTCTAATATTTATAGAATGAAATTTCCTGAAGGAAGTTTTGCAAACACTCCCAAAGAAATCCAAAAGGTGAGATTAACCAAAACAAAGACAAGAACAGAAGAAGAGCAGAAGAAGAGCAAGACAGTAATACAACCCAGGATTGTTCTAAGGACGGCTCAGAAGAGCAAAACTGTGTACTTTTATATTCCAGTTCACACAGACCACACCCAAACTTCCCAGTTATGTTCTGCTTATCACTGGGTGCAATGCTAATCCTTATGCATATCTTGTTTACACATCTTGCTGTAATCATGTATTAGCATAAGTTTACACACTGCCACTTACACTGTATAATCCACATCTCGTGGATAATTTAACAAGCGAAGTCCTTGTTCTATTTTTCTTAAACTTCCATTTAGGTCTCCTGTTGCCATTATTCCAAATGCTATTCTTCCTTCAGATTATGAAATAAACATAAAAAATTGCATCTGTTAAAAAAAGTTACGTACACAAAAATTACAAAATGCAAATAATCACCTAAATTCAACTTTCTGCTAGAATCTAGGAGATAATTACCTGCCACTATCTTCACTAAATTCCTTTTCTTGCTACAAAACAAGTATTTTGAAGCCTACCAATGCAAGCAGTGAAGAGGCACGGTCACACAGCTTATAAATGAAGCAATGGTCTCAAGAAACAGTTACATTCACAGTGGGCTGGGTTTGTTGTGGGTGTTTTTCTTCTTGTGCTTCCGTGATGTTTAATCAGCAATCTTCAAGATTAAGCTCTTCCCATGTGTTCTGCCCTTGTTAAAAGGACTTTCTTCCTACTTAATCATCAAGTTCCTTTAATTTAATTATTAGGTTTTGGGTTATTAGTTGCACTAAACAGAAGTACACAATACTTACTTTTCAAAGTCAGAATGGGAATAATTTAACCAATTATTTGGAAATTGAGGCAGCTATTCTTCCTGCATTATGTTACAATGCGATCCATTCTATGGTTTTGCAAATTTAAACAGCTATTAAAACAAATCTCAAAGAATATGATATAAAACCAAAGCTCTAATCTGCAATGCAAATACTCACAGAAGACACACTCACAGGATTTTGTCTAATCACATATAGGCTATTTCCCAAAAGTATCAACAATCCTTTCTTTTGACACCAGACCTCTGGATGTAAAAACTGGTAACTACTGTCACTACAAAATAGCCCAAGAGTTCATAAAAGTCATAAAAGTAACAGTCAAGTTGGTAGCAAATCTTGGGAAGGTGAACCCCATAAAATGAGATACACGGCTTTTGTCTGTAGAGATCTGTAGAACTGGCTGGCTATCAAGAATAAAATCAAGTATAACAAAGTTTCAAGGTACAAAAATATAGAGCTTTGAGGAAGTGGCTCAAAGAACAACTGTCAAAACTGTGTATGATAGATATTCAAAGGATCAATAAAAACTAAAAAACTAAACATTACTAATAAAAATTAGTAAAAAACTAAACAAAAAATACCAAAACAAACAAACAAAAACTAAAAAAACTACCCCATTCAAGTTACCAAGTATGTTAACACTATAAACGCTGTCTTTGAAATGCCCAACAACTAGACTTTTGATTTCTTCCAACTGAATCTAGACTCTCCTATTACACAGGGAGGGGAGCTGAGATAAATCGCATCATTACGCAGAGCTGCAAAAACATCACCGACCAATACGGGACTTCGCCGCCGTGCCAGCTGCGACACCCTCGGCGCAGAGGCCGCTTGCACACCAGCGAGCGGCACAAGGCACTGCGCGTTCCCGGCTGGTTGCCCTGGGCACCAGCGGAAAAACAAGCGTGTCCCAGCCAGGACACGGCAAGCCAGGCTGCGGTCCCGGAACCAGCGCGCTGCGGCAAACTCGCCGGAATGGGACCGGGGCCGGCTCCTCACCCGCCTTTCCTCACCCCTACAAGAGCGGAGATCGGGCCCTCCCCAGAGCCCGCCGTCTCCAGAGAGGGAGAGCCCCGGGCTAGGAGCGGGCCCGCGCGGCGGGGACAGACGCGCCCCGAGAGCGATGCTGACGCTCACCCGCGCGCCGGGAGCCCCGCGGCCGTTCCCCGGCAGCGCGCCGGGAGCCCCGCGGCCGTTCCCCGGCTGTGCGGCGGGCGCAGACCGAATCTGCCGCCACCGAACCCGACGGGCACTTCCGCTCCCCGCGCGTCCCTCCCCGCGGACGTCACTTCCAGCAACAACAGCGGACGTCAGAGCTGCCCGGGCAGGAGTCGGGGCGGCGGCGGCGGGCTCGGCCTCCCTGCCGAGGCTCCTTCCCTGGGCCTGTCCGCCCGTCCCCGCCGCCAGGCCCGCGCAGCCCCTCCCGCCCGGCGCGGCCCTCGCACGCAGGCGGGCCGGGCTCGTCGCGGCGGCGGTTGGAGCGGAGCTGGCACAGGTAGGGCCCGCGGGGGCACCTCCGCGGCGCGGACGGACGGGCGGCGCGGCCAATCGGCAGCCGGGGCTCCGGGAGCGGCCCAATGGGGCCGGGGGGCGGCACCCGCCGGCCGCGATCGCCGGTGCCCCGGGAGGGGCGGCCGTGCCCAGGCCGGGTCCCGGTGCCGCTCTGTGCGGGTTCGAGCCGCTCGGGCGGCGGCTCGGCTGCGGAGCTTCTCGGGACGCGGCGCGGCCTTGGGCGGCTTCGGGCCTCGGCTTCCCGGGGCGGCTCTGGGCCTGCGGGACGGGCTGTGCCTCCGCCCGCCAGCCTGGTGGCCCGCAGTCGGGATTGAAGGGTTTTCACGTTCCGGGGGGACCAGCAGGCCTCGGTTGCAATGCAGCTGCTATGAACGAAGCTTCAGTTTCGGTAGGCTTACGGCGAAGGAAGGAACGTTTTCCTGTTGGGATAATCGTGGCTGCAAATCAGCAGCTGTAGGACTCAGTTACTCTAAAGTGGAGAGTGTTTATATCTAGAGTGCATGTTGTTTTTTATTTAATAAAATAGAATCCAGTATTAATGCAGCATTAATCTAGATTATGTTTAGTATCCTATCACGCTTGTCAACACTGCAAAAGAATTGATTATGCAGTAAGTAGCAAAGTAACATGAGGAAGAAACAATTAAAATTTAAATCAGACTTTGATAGATAGCAGACAGAGCTAGAGAAGGTCAGCAATTTATAAACAAGCTCGATGTTATTTTTACTGTGGTAGCTACTCCAGCCAAGCTATCAAGAGTTTTCAATTAAGATTACATTATTAGGCATTTGAAAACACGCATTTGAGTGGTATACTGAGTCTGAAGATTGAAAATATAGGTTCAAAATAGTTTTAAAATATAGTCCTCGACGTCGTTACTTAAAAGGCTTTATAACAATGGGTTTGCTCATCTTTCGTTATGAAAGCATTCATCCTGGATTATTACAGAGCTGAAAGTAATTACGTGATTGGGAAAATTATATGTGTTCTAACAAATGGCATATAAGCTGCTGAATAGCTACACAAATAGTAGAGCTTGTGATTTTCAGCAGCTGGTCCTAGACTGGTTTAAATTCTGTCTCATTTTGTTTCTCCTGTGAAATTTCTTCAGTTTGTCCTTAAAAGCAAATATGTTGTTGGGTTTTTTTACATTATAAAAAGGCTTTTTATACTATTTCTGCAGTGATATTCTCTGTATAAGTATGTGAGTATCTTGTAATCAAGGCTTTATGTTATGCTAGTAGGTATGAAAGCTTGAAAAGATACTTATTCTCTTGTGTCTGAGGACTCAAAATCCTTACTGCATTATCACTGAAGTCATTAAACTTTGTTTCAGTGTCAGTCACTGTGTTATCCAGTCATTAACTCTAAAGAGTCCTTCATTGACTCTAAATAAGGTCTTTTTATGAAATTTTGAAGGAAGTCTGAAGATTCCAAATGTTTTGAAGCCTAAGGTTTCTTAACTTGCATACGATACAGATAATATTTGGTACTATTTGAAGAAGCTTATTGTTAATTTTGTAGCTCTTCGATCATGGAAACTTTTGGAAAAAATCTAGGTTTTTTTAATAGGTTTTGTTTTCAGTATTTTTTCAATTGCCCTATGAAGACTGATTACTTGGGCACCATAACTTTGGTAGAACTCACTTTCTACCTATTCAGATCAGTCCTAAAATTTGACTTATGTGCTGAGCCTGTCTTACAAATGTTTACAAACAGCTGTCAATATCTAATTTGGATTTTATGTCCAGCAGGCTCGCAGATGGGTCAGGGACTCTGGAGAATTGCTAGAAACCAGCAATTGCAGCAGCAAGGATACAGTGGACAAGGCTATCTTACCAGAGAGCATGGTAGGAGGATACCTGCTAACAGCGTTTCCAATACGAGCCACCGCAAACAAGCTCAAGGAGGCATTGACATCTACCACCTGCTGAAGACAAGAAAATCTAAAGAACAAGAAGGATTCATTAACCTGGAAATGTTGCCACCAGAGCTCAGTTTTACCATTTTGTCATACCTGAATGCAACTGATCTCTGTCTAGCATCATGTGTCTGGCAGGATCTTGCTAATGATGAGCTCCTCTGGCAAGGGTAAGCATGAAAAAGGAAGTATCACCTGGGCATAGTAAAAAGTATTAGATTTTAAATTTGCTTCAGCACATCTTTCTAACCTAGCAAAGGTTTCCTAAGTTAAATGAGATTTATATAGAGGAAACATATATCATTTAAAAATGTGTTATTCTGGATTTCTAATTAGCATGGGGTATTACTGGACATTGCTACATACACAAGCATGCTTGGCACAAGTGTACATGTGTATTATTAAACACCTGGTGTTTGAGATAGCATGACAGGGACTTGTCTTCACTTTTGTATTATTATCTCAAAGCACATCTCAGGTGTTTGTATCATTACTTCTCTGAACTTTGAACAGTTGTCTAGCTTAAGCAAGCAAACCTATTCAGCCAAACTTCCAAAGGAAGAGACGTGAGAACTCATCTACTACACTTGACACAAATTAGGTGTATTGTTTTTGGAAGATGGCTGTGGAGGGAGGAAAGAAAAGGTTGTTTCTTTCTCAAATGAAATTTCTGCAGCCTAACATTTGAAACACGTTTATGTATAACATATGCAGAGTTTGTATGTCTGGGAAATAAATAAAGGAACATTTTTAAGATAAAACAGTGTAATATCAAAATGTAATTAACATATTCTTTGGTATTTTATGTTTTACAGCACTAGGAAACACTCATGAAATCATACTAATCTTTAGATTAGATGGTCAGCAGAACTTTTAACTTCTTTCACAACATTTTCTTCTCCCTTAACAGACAGTATTACTACTGTAGCAGTTGGGTTGCTGTTCAGGTTGTTTATTTACCTTTCATTACGCTCTACATCTCTTCCTCCCCTCGTCTGTTTCCTTGCCCGGCTGCATTTGAATTAAGCAGCTTCCCTTCCTATCATGCTTTGGAACCTAGCAAAAGGATAATGCAGCATAACTTCTTAGTCACAATTGTTCTGCTGTTGGGGACTCTTCTATTGACAGGAGCAGGAATTCTAGTGAAGGATACCAGTAAGCTTCTAAGTTTATCCATATGCATTGTACTGTGCTCAGTTCTTGGTCTTAAACCCAACCTAAATAGAAATAAATTCCTTAGACCAAAGCTTGTAGTAGAGCTTCTTAATTACATGCAGTATATATTCTTAACATGTGGGGTGGAAATACATATTTTCCTTGAAGTTCATTCTGGAAAACAGTTCATTTTTTGTGCAATCTTTCCAAATAATACATTTATTCCACATTTCTTTTGGTAATGAAAATGCATCCTGATTTAGCTATAGATAAAAATCTCAATTTGCATAATCTCTGTAAAAATCTTCATTATTCCACATGTATAAGGGTGTGTTTAAGTTTTGGCAAGTACTGTGGTTGCAGTTCCAAACTCAGTCCAAATAAGACCCAGGTTCCAGAATTGAAAACAGAATCATTGCTATATCTCCAGTGACTACCTGCTGGGTCCTAAACGTTGTTCCTAATTAGTTACTGTGCAGGTGCGTTGAAGCAGAACTACCAGTTCAATAAGGAATCTAGAGTGTGTAGAAAGGGAATTGCAGATGGTATCATCAAAGGAGGTGAGATGAGAGACAGAAACTGATGAGACTGATATGGAGTCAGGGTGGAATAAAAAGGAAAGAAGCTCAAAAGTTATAGAAGATAGAGAGGGATGGGACTGGATCTAGTTGTTAGGACTGGCCAGTTAGGACAAGAGGAAGAAGAGTTGGGCAAAGAAGGACAGATGGGGAAAGGGCCGAATTAAAGGCATAATTGTGTGCAGATACAGTGTCCAATTCATTGCACAACTGGGGCACAGGAAAAGAAACAGAATGCTTTAATCTGTCACAGTACCCCAGGAGAACAATTTGTCACTGTTCTCCAGTGTTCAGGTTCTAGGAGTGCCAGAGGTCTCTGCTCTGTGGTTGTCATAATGATGCCACCTACTGGGGTAGGTTTTGATGTTGCACTCAAATACACCAAAACCACTATGAGAAGAAAACATTAATCATATAATTGAAGATTTTAGAAGAACATGGCAAAATGACTTAATAACTGTAACAGTAACCTACTTCTAACTTTTCCTATAGCTCAAGTATTAGCTTTGCAGTGTTGGTTACATTTTGCTTTTGTAAAATCCATGAAATTTGGAAAGGAATTTTTATAATAGATTAATTCTATTTTCATAGGTTGTGCAAATCCACTTGGGGTCACTGTTCTATATACAATAAGAATCCGCCTCTAGGATTTTCTTTTAGAAAATTGTATATGCAGCTAGATGAGGGCAGTCTCACCTTTAATGCCAACCCTGATGAGGTAAGTGAACTGTTGCTGACAGTAATAAACAGTTACAATAATTGTGATTGCTTTTTTATAATTATAGCCATATAAAAGCAAAGTTTTAATCAGTGTTTGTTTTACTGTAGGGGTGGTTAATACTGTGCAACAGCAGTATCCTGGTCTTTTTTTTGAGTATTGTACCTGTGTACATCATTTACATGACTTGCCTGTTAAGTGCCCTGTACACTTCTGTGGATGCCAGAAATTCATAACCACAT